GCCCAGCCATTCACCAGACTTGAATCCAACAGAAAATCTATGGAAAGAAGTAAAGATTGTTCATAGAAGAGGCCAAAGAACCATCAAGATTTTCAATACTTTTTCCCGATGTCATTCCATTTTTTTTTTACACATACCTTAATTTCTGAACTTATTCGTTTTGTTTTGTTTTGTTTGTAGGTATGGATTACATGGGTTGTTACCAACATGTGGTGAGAATTTCATGTCAATAGCACCTTTAGAAATATATTTAGTTAGAAAAAAAGACGTATTCAATACGTATTTTACCTGCTGTATATAAGGGGCAAATAGACTGCTAAGAGTGCTGAAGTGGTGATGTTTCTACAAGGGCACAAACACACAGATGTACCCAAAACATATAAACACAGGAAATCCACTTCCACAGGAAAATCCCAGCTGCATAACTGTACGTGAAATTCCTTGGCTCTCACTTTCTGCATCCCATGAATGAAGGGCAGCACGTGTCATATACACTGTAATAACAAATATGAAAACTCCACTCTTATGCAAGAGTGGTATATTGTTGTAAAATGATATGCTATAGCACCCGATGAAAAGGCCAACAACCAATTATCAATTTCATCTTGTTTCTGTGCAGGGATCATGCTTTACTGTTCCACTCCAACATCCGACCCAGAGCTTTGCATCCTGAAACACTGTGCGCACATCATACACTGCTCACAAATGAATGAGACTGGCTCCACTGGCATCATGGTTGAAGATTGTTTCCCCTGTACCAGATCTTATCACTTTTAACAACGATAAGGAATGACCCCAGCCTCTATTTATACTTCACCAAATACATTAGCTGTGAAGATATTGGGACAGCACCTTGTATACTCCAAAAATGGTTTCCACTTTTTAGAAGTGACACTCTGGTCAGTTTAACTGCAAAAAATGTGCTTAGCAGAGTAGAAGAACCAAACACCTCCTCTGTATCTGCATAGCATTAAATCAGATTAAACCTCTATAAAATGCCACACATTTTCCTTGAAAGCAGACCTTGCACCACATTGCATCAAATCATCCATTCCCATTCCCACTATGCCACATGATAGTTCTAAGTCAAAAAAATATATAAAGAAATAAAAAAGTTAGAAAATATATGCACCTTCCAATGGCTTCAGCACAGAGGGCGACATCAGAATCCTTTCAGTGGGATCCTGGGAATGCAGAAAAGAAGCTCCTACACTGAGGCATTTGAGATTTTCATTGCAGGATCTCACCGAAGGATCGTGACATCAGCCTGGCCTAGGGGCTGCAGATGAAAACTGCATGGAAGCAGGAATATGAAAACTGACAGCACTGTGCTATTACAAAACAAAAGAAAGTGGAAAAAACATTTGTTTTTACTCTTTAAGGGCTCATGCACACGAAATGCTTCTCTGAACTCCAGAACTCCTTGACAGGAGCAAACTGCTGAAAAAACGCACCCAGAGCCATGTATTGCACACAGGTTTAGGCGCATCAGGCATATGAGTGTTAATTGATTCCATTGGCCAGATTATTCTGGCCAAAGCAATGCATTAGGACCCTTTAACATGAAGTGGACTTCATTAACTCAGCAGGGGATCCATCCACTGATCAACGGTTTATGTCTGCTCAGTTTATGGAGTGTGGACACGAGCCCACTCTGCTCCATGGACCAGAGCGTATAAACAGACTCCACTGTCCATTTACTTCCAACTGCCTTCTGTTTCGTTACGCCTAGACAGAAGGGGATGGACCTCCTTCTGTTCCTTTTTTTTTTTTTTTTAGCAGACCCAATTGGGTCAAAGGTAGGCGGGTGTAAAAAGTACGTTTATACTCATCAGTCCATAGGCGTGAATGGAGTGTCCAATCGTGTCTATCTGAAAAGCTGACCGGCAGACCTGATCAAACCTTTCGTGTGAAAGGGGCCCTAACGCCCAAATGCTAGATGAATCTAGTGTTTAGGCATGTTCAGCATTTGTTTTTTGCTCGGCAGGTCCTCTCCTGAACAACTTTTTGTTATTCCAGCCAACACTCCTCTTCTAATAAGCCTAAAAAATTGTAAAGTCAATTTTTTTAGCCCTGTCCTAATTAAAGTTGGTCTTTGTCCCAGCGGAAATATTTGCCTTCACACCCTGTTCTGGAGAAATCAACAAAAGCAAGGGAAATTTCCCACTTGCACAGTTGTCACTGGACATATGCCCCAATTAGAAAATTTACACTTTTTGTTCAGGTCACAGCTGTAAACATTGGAATTTTAAATCACTTTATCTCCTTCCGACATTGGTCGCCAGGACAGATACAGTGAATCTCTCCAGCAATGCCACAGCAATAAGAACTGGACAGCTAATTGAAACCTCTCTTAACAAGAACTTAAAAAAGTGTACAAAGTGCAAAAAATACCTGCTGATCCTTTTCAGCTGCCCAAGTTCTCCTAGACAGAACATCACCCCATCTTCTCAAAACAAGGAGGAAGGTTCTGTAGTTCATCAGGAGAGAAAGAGGCAGGGCTGATAACACTGTTTGGAATTTTAGTGCAGCATAGGCAGTGTTTTCAACTTGCTGTAGGAAGTTAGAAAACCACTGAATTTCTATCCAGATGAACAAGTATTTTTCTGTATTTCAGCTTTTCAGCAACCACTTAACTGCCACCGTATGTTTAGGAACAACAGGGTGGTGGACGTTTATTTCTACAGCTCAGGTCACAGAAACAATGTACAGAGCCGATCTAAGCGGTTCTGTACCTTGCAATCACTGTGATGACCAATCCGTTAATTACTAAATTAGTTATAACATTATTTAAACCGTTTTCTACAGTTAATGTGAAAATGTTTCTGTTAATTTACAGGTGACTTTTTACCATAGAGTTTTTCGTTAAATACAGCCATCTTGGCAGCTAGTCCTACTTGGAGAGTATTATGCTGCACAGCTTCCTACCACTTGGCATTGTAAATACTATGCTGGAATGTACTTAAAAGCAAAATGCCATAACTCACCACAAATTAATATTGTAAGCTGCTGGAAAAACGTGTAGCAGCTAATTACTAGATAACAGCAAACATGTGGAAGCAGACTTACATAAGACTAGTCTGAACCCTGCCACGCAGATACTGAATATTAGTGACACTGCAGAGAATAATAGAAAGGAAAGACCTGAGAAATTCCACAATATAACTGTGTTGCACAAGAGCCCCGGGTGCTGCATTTCAGTCGCACAGACATACAGGTAGCCATTCAATTCCTTTCTAAAGGCAACATGAATATTAGCTGTTCCACCTTCACCAACCAGTTTTACAGGAGTAGCAGCAGAAAATATTGAAGCCAGAGATTTAGCAAGACAATTTTATAGCACATGCTTCCTTTAAAAAAGAAAGTTGATGAAAACTCAACTGAACTTTCATTTTAAACTAAACTAGATAAATATATTCCCGGGGCATCATATCAACTGCTGTGCAAAATCATAACGCTTTCTTTTCTTTGAAAAGCAGCCACAGCAGTGTTCTCTCTGCAGAGGTCCGACAAGCCCCTTGATCTTCCTTGCCTTTTCTCTATTGTAAGAGGAAGGGGAGGGCTCTCTAATCAGTAAATGTTCAGAGTGGCTCTTTGCATTGTGCTCGCTATGATGGCCAATCACAGCGATCACAAAGCACAGAGTCACTCTGATTGGCTCTGCTTATTTTGCCTATGAACTGCACAGTAACACAATACAAAACATAGCGATGATTTAAAAAGGCACTCCAGAACACCGTGGCCATCAAAATGCCATTTTAAAACAGCAGCACTGAAGTGATCACCTTGTCATCCTCCCACCCTTTATACTCCCCTTACCACACACAATACTCACAAATTCTAGATATGGAATTGTAGCAATGGGATCTAGCAGGCAATCGCTAGGTTTGAGCATTGTCCCATGACTGGCTGAGTGATGCTACCAAGCTCCTGGTTACGAACACGATGCTTTGAATACAGCGTAAAGGAGAAAAATAGCAAGGGATGGTTTGTATGGCAAGTATATGTGACATGCCATTTCCAGGTACTGTCACATTCCCCTGCAAAGGCAAGTTGGCCATGCTGTATCTCTTTAAAGCATATAAAAACACAAACAAAAAAAGGAATCCATGTAATCAATTGCAACTCACCAGTCCATAGATGTGGTAGCTGCATTCGTTTCTGCTTATCCAGCTTCTTTTGTCCGTTTAATGTTACCTGGTGATCCTACCAGAAACACATTTGCTGTCCCAGGGTGACAAGGCTCACTCCCTTTGCACTCACTTAGAACTACCTCCCAGCCCCCCATGTTAACATTAAAAGGAACAGTGTACATATAGTAGTTTTTCTAAAACATTCAGTGATCGCAACACAAGGTCCTCTTTAAATAACTCCAATAGTCCAGTGCTTGGGTCCAGGGTGACTTATCTAACTAGACACTTGAGCCCAGCATAGAGCAGCCAGGCAGATGATAAATGAGATGCTTCTTGGCATTCAACCTAGAATCTTTCTATTGTTTTTGTAATCAGATATACATGAGATTTGCAGACACAGGAAATTATCATATATCCTTTTTATTGTCAGAGTGAGAAGCTTAGAAGGAAAAGTAATAACAAAAAAAAAAGAAAAAAAAAAAAAGGGGGGGGGGGGGGGCAGAGTGTAATTTCAGAAGTTATCTGCCACAGTCGCCTGATTTCTACAATGGCCGGGTACATTGCCTATGGCTTACAATACACAGCTCAATTTCTGCAACCAAAGTCAGGCTGCTGCTGTGAATAAGGTGTATTTGCGTGCAATAAGAATCTGTAAGCATTAGAATGGATTGCCATGTTGCAACCATCAAGTAATTATACCCATTCTCAGTCTGTATATGCAGTAAAGCATGCTTGTTATACTCACTGTGGAACCTAAGGGGTTAATCCTCTGCATTGTGTAAAAAGGTTGTTTGATCCTTTCTCCTCTGTTCCTCCCCTTTTTCAAGCAACCACCACTTATCTTTAGACGGAACCATAGGCATGCACATGCTCAGTTTGGTGTATATTGCTAGAGAGGTTTTTTCTTTTCTTGGGAGAATGCATGTGATCAGCACAGGGCCAATCAGCACTGTCCAGACAGAGGTCAGGGGATTTCCATCCTTCTAGAGCAGAAAATAAACTCCTCCTACAAGCTTTAGCTAGTGCTTGTCTGAACACTGATAGAAGTCACGAGAATGCTCTAACTGCTGATGAGAAAATGGAATTAGCAGTTTCTATTTACTAAAATAATGTCACTTCCATGTTCTGTGTCCTGTGGGAAACCAAATATAGTGAATGCAAGGTCTTGGGTTTAATAACACTTTAAATCTGAAATAGGATGCATCTCTACAATGCACAATGGTATATGCTGTGGATGTATAAGGCTGCTTTCACACTGCATATACATATGAATTTTGTAAATGTTTTGAGTTTTTTTTTTTGGGGTGCCTATTACCCAGCATGCACCTATAAAACATGGACAATGTGACCAAGAAAAAAAAAAAAAAACGCACCAAAAAAAACAACTGTGGGTGCATTCTGATGCGTTTCCATTCATTTTAATAGGGAGGAGCACTTTTGGAGCTGTTAACATGCATAAACTTACACCAAAAATGCAGCAAGCAGGACTTTTAAACAATGCAACTGAAGTGCAACTGACCGGAGTGCAGAGTTCCACAGGATTTAAAGGGATGCATTTTTCAAGCAAAAGATTAGTGAGCGTTTATAGGGCAAATGGAAACTGAACAGTGACCTGAATGGTTATTAAAGGGTAAGTTTACCTTTTTTGAAAAAAATAAGAAAAAGTGAACTCTCCTCAGTGGGGTCAGACAGACTTTAATCTTTATAATACCAAAACTTCCCCAGCATGCATAAAGTGGGACCCGAGAGCCTTTTCTACACTGTGTAAGAATGCACAGCATATTGCAAAGAGGGCATGGATTTTTGTCTACACAGGCAAAAGGTGCATTTTGCTCCCGCCCCCCCCCCCCCCCCCCCATACACACATCATCCCCCTGCCACCCCAGGGTTCAGGAGTGCAGTGTTCAAGAGTGCACAATGTATAGACTGCGGGGTTTAGGAGTGCATTGAGCACAGAATGCACTGTTCAGGAGTGTGTTATGCAGAGTATGCCTCTGCACCCCCATCCAAAGCTCACTTCTCTCTTGCAGACTATCTCTGCAACACCCTCCTAACCCTTCCTCCCCCAACAGCTAAGCTCTGCAGCCAGCTTCTTTCGCTCTGACTCCTGCATCCGCACTACCCTCCTCTCTGCATGCACAACCCTTCCTCCACTATCCTCACCTGCTCACCTTTCAGCAGCCGCACCATCTTTCCTGCCTCTTCCCCAGTGGCCAGAAACAGCAGCGGCAGGAATATCATCCAGCGGTGGCCATTGTAATCTGAGCACTAGGCTACTTCTCAGCATGGGATGCCCACCCGCAGCCCATGAACACACTGTGCCCTGGCAGGGAAGCACGCTGTCACACAGAAGCCTGGTAGTGAACAGGGTCATTGCCAGAACAGAGTTCCACCACATTCTGGCTGGAAAAAGCCCTTGCAAAACCTAAATGTGACAGGGAGGCCACACGAGCCCCCTGGAGCATAGGTGGGGTAGCCATTGCGACCCCTGTGACCCCTCAAGCTTAACTAGTGGAATAGAAGACAGGCGTTTTAAAAATCTGAATCCCCAGTGACTGGGGATTCAGAGTTAGGCAAGGCTAGGTTCACACTATTCCATGTTTGCTCAGGTACAACAACCAGTTCATTTGAATGGGCTGTCGTGCCTGCATTTCACAAAGGAAAAAGGTTCCTGCACCATTTTTAAACCACAGTGGCCAGAAAATCACATGGTACTTTTGCACCATGCAATTTCCCAGAGGTTCCCAGACCCACAAACACACTGCATTTTTAGATGTGTGGGGTGCCTTTAATGAATGAATGGCAGCTCCGCACATCTGTAAAGAACAAGCATATTGGCTAGGATTACTGTACCCACAACCACCTGCCATAGTGTAAACCTAGCCTTTAGCCATGGTTCACACTAATGTGATATGGGAAAACACAGCGAATCCTGTGACTCCCACAACCGACATGCGGCTGAAAATTACACCCCGAAACACTTCACAGACATCGCATGTGTGAACACCCATTGCAAAAAAGGAAGGACTGCGAAAATTACTTCACAGACATCGCATGTATTTGCACAGGAATTATTATTATTATTATACAGGATTTATATAGCGCCAACAGTTTGCTCAGCGCTTCACAATATAAAAGGAGACAAAACAGCAACAATACAGTTCAATACAAGAGGGATAGGAGGGCCCTTGGAGCTTACAATCTAGGAGAGTGGTGCGATTCCTGTACAAATCACATGCGGTGTGCTGCATTGCACAGTGTGTACCTAGGCTTAGTGCACGGTCATACCGATGCAATTTGGGAATTGAAATTGCATGTGAAAACGCTACTAATGAATGTGAATGTCAGTGTCTTAACATTTGCAATTTGCTGCAGCGTGATTTCGAAAATAGTTCTTGCATAACTTTTTTCTGCAGTTTGGTTGCGATTTCGCATACATAGAATATAATAGAAATCGCACTAAAAATTGAAAGAAAAAGTCTTCAAAATTTAGCAATAAAGTCTTCAGAAATCAAACTGAAATTGCACACAAATCGCAGTGGTTTCACCAGTGACTTAGGGTGAACCATATCTGTAAGCTGCTCTGCATCAATAGTTATGGGGCAGCATGCAGATTCTGTGGGAACCTCTGCTTTCCTGAAATGAGATTTAGCTGGGCTTCTTGTGATGGAGTGAAGAGGACTTACTCCAGCCAATGTTTTCTCCAGGATATTGGAGCTGCTGTGCAGGGCCGTCAGAGAGGACAGCTGGTGCTGGGCTGCAGCTGGAGTTGAACCGGTGCCATTTTGGGTGCTGTAGGGACCACCGGAATGTCCATCAGTTCCTGCAACTTCTACCCTTGCTTGTGATGCTTGACATGCCAGTCAGCTGTGTGGTGAAAGGCTCTGATAAGTAAGTGGAGGCAACGGACCATGGAGGTACCGCCATAGCTGCTGCTTAGCCATTGAGTCCGGTTAGGAAGAGAAGAGCTCAGAACTATGCAGCCATTGGCTCACCGTCCAGACATGACCCAATCCCCCCCCCCCCCCCTTGGGATTTTGCACTGCCATACTGGCACTCTCAGGTGGTTGCCTGAGCCGCCTTATGCTGGCGCCGGTTCGGATTGCAAATTATGGCACACCAACCTTTATTTTTTTTTTACAGGTACATATATAGCATCAACAACAATTTACACAGCGCTTTGAACATACACTCACCGGCCACTTTATTAAGTACACCTTGCTAGTGCCAAGAAAATATCCCCCCACACCATTACACCACCAGTAGCCTGAACCGCTGATACAAGGCAGGATGGATCCATGCTTTCATGTTGTTTTGCCAAATTCTGACCCTACCATCTGAATGTTGCAGCAACCGGTCTGCCCTATTCTCCTCTGACATCAACAAGGCCAAGGCATTTTCGTCCACACAACTGCAGCTCACTGGATATCTTCTCTTTTTCGAACCATTCTCTGTAAACTCTAGAGATGGTTAGGCATGAAAATCCCAGTAGAGTAGCAGTTCTTGAAATACTCAGACCAGCCCGTCTGGCACCAACAACCATGCCACGTTCAAAGCCACTTAAATCCCCTTTCCCATTCTGATGTTCGGTTTGAACTTCAGCAAGTCATCTTCACCACGTCTAGGTGCCTAGTTGCTGCCATCTGATTGGCTGACTAGCAATTTGTGTTACCAAGCAATTGAGCAGGTGTACCTACTAAAGGTGTACCTCAAACCACAATAAAAACTTTTGGCTGGGAGCTCCACTTTAACAATAAAATGAGCTAACCTGAAACAATCATACAGACAGTAAAGTCATCACTCCCAACTGGCATATTTGTTCCTGCTCAGTATCCTACTGCAATCTGCCCTATAAACTCCTAATGAACTCATTTTGGCTTGTTCTGCCCATGGAATGAATACACAGCATATAAAAAATGCATTATAGCTCTGAATAGGATCTACTCCCACATGGACCTGCTGCTGCAAACTGGGTGGATAAACTAATTAATAGGCTTCACAACATAAATGAACCACTTAATGAAATATGAAAATTCTACAAGCCTTTAAATATTTACTATAGTAGCATTCTGCGACCGAGGCTTTAACAAGTCCCTTCACACGTGTTCGTCATACATTGAGAAGAAAATTCACCAGGGTACCAAGGCTGTTTATGCGTGGTCAAAATGCTCAACCACATCCAGCAGTATTAGATGAGGTGTGTGCCTAGCTGGTGATTTCTCACAGGTCTATATGAGTAAGAGTGTTTTTTTTATTTAAAAGGTGCTAAAATACTACTGACATTCAGGTCACTGAAGAGACAAAATACGCAATAGGAAACATACAAATACATATTTGCAAACTTCTACATTTGATTCGTCATAGCGGTCTTCATAACCATCTACATTTACATTGAGCCAGGAAGTCAGTACTGGACTCCTGGACTGGTTTTGACTAGTTTTGTTTATTAAAGGTTAGCAGCTACTGACTTTTATTATTATTTTTTAACAAACTACTGAAGTCCCTCTTTAAGTCCCCCTTGGTGAAAAGTGAAATTGTCTATATATTAAAAGGACTTTTTTTTTCTTTTTTTTAAATCTAAACAAAAAGGATGTTATAAGCTACAGTGACCAATCAGATCAGATCTTTTTTTTTACCTGGGCAAATAAACCAAGAAATATCAATGGTTACCATAAGCAACAAGTCTACTGTTTTGCCTCAAATTTTTATAAAAAAGGCCCGAAATATACAACTCCAAATCAGGCATGTCTAGGACAGACCATATGGCCACTGCAGTTTTCTGGACTAGTCAAACAAAGGCCATTGTCTGAAGATTAGATGACCAGCTGTATCCGAGTGGTCAGTAAAACCTCCAGCCCTAATGCACATAATTGGTTTGGGATTAGGAAGAACAGGAAGATTTTTGTAAAGGAAAATCGTCTGGTCGCATTCAGGGAAATATTAGTTTGACTAATATTTGCAGT